AAACACAGGAAGGGAGAAAACTCTCTACAAACTTCTTCCAGAAGCAGTCCACCCCCCAGCCCTCTCCATTCTGATCCTGTGGCTTCCAGACTTGGACATTTTCTGATTTGTGTCAGAGGTCAGCGAGGCCTGAAGCTAGCTTTCCATGCATCACCACCCAGGAGATTGCCCAAACACCAGCGTGGTTTCTGGAAACTTAAGTTTGGCCTCCTGGGATGACCCGTCCTCCCTCCCTCCCTCTCCCCCTCCCTCCCTCCCTCCCTCCCTCCCTCCCTCCCTCCCTCCCTCCCTCCCTTCCTTCCTTCCTTCCTTCCTTCCTTCCTTCCTTCCTTCCTTCCTTCCTTCTTCTCTCCCTCCCTCTGCCCCTCCCTCCTGACAAAGCTCAGGAATGCCACAATTGCTCAGGTTTCCACACAAGCTGCTGACAGGCCCACCCACCCCTGCTTATAACACTTCCTCTAGAAAGCCTGCAACTCTAAGTCCCTTCTCTGCCCCTTGAGATGAGACTGTCACCCCAGATCGCTTCATCCAGGACCCGCAGGCATCTCAGATACAGACCTCATGGAGGGAGGGACGGTGAACTAGCTTAGGTCACTGAAGGAGCCACGCTGCCACACGTTGGTGGTTGTGTCTGGCTTTGGAAGGGAGGGAAAGCCCCTTTAGGGGACAATTCCAGGCAGTTAACAAAGCCACACGCCCTAGGCACAGGTCCTTTTGGTTGGTTGGTTGGTTGGTTTTGAGTCTGACTTTTGCTATGTATCCCAGGTTGACCTTGAATTTGCTGATCCTCCGCCCTCAGCCTCTCCAATGCTGGGATTACAGGCACGTGACACCCTACTCAGCTCTTAGAAGGTCTTTATAGGCTTTTTAGTTGCCCTGGCTGCTTTTCATTCAGCTTTTTTCTTTCAGAGACTGAGCTCCGTTCACAGCCGGCCTTCTTCTAGCAGCAAGGATTTTACGAGTCCCCACTTGCTCTTTGGGTTATCTAGTCAACTACCACCCAGCTGTGGTTGATGATCTTGTGACTCTCCATTTAAAGCCCTCAAGATCATGTAGTACATGAGAGGATGGACATACCACCATCCTAGGCCATCTGCTCACGTTGACAATTTAACATGTCCCTTGAATGATGTTAGAAATACCCTTAACTAGGCAGGTGCTGGTGGCTCACGCCTGTAATCCCAGCTACTCAGGAAGCTGAGATCTGAGGATCACAGTTCAAAGCCAGCCAGGAAAGTCCGTGAGACTCTTATCTCCAATAAACCCCTCAGGAAAACCAGAAGTGGCGCTGTGGCTCCAGTGGTAGAGTATTTGCCTTGAGCTGAAGAGCACAGGGACAGCACCCAGGCCCAGAGTTCAAGCCCCACAACCGACAAAGAAAGAAAGAAGGAAGGAGGAAAGAAAGAAAGGAAGGAAGGAAGGGGGGGGGAGAGAGAGAGAGACTGACTCTTGGCTTTGCTGGGTGGTTGATGTTCCATGGCTTCCATGGTCTAGGCCGTGCCCCTCACTGACAGACAGTGGGTCTGGGGCCTTCCTGCTGCTTCTGTCCCAGGTTCAATGGAAGCACGGGATCCCCGCCCCCACCCTGCTGTGTCTCAGGCCACGGACTGTGCAGGTGAGCTCTGGTGTCAGTCAGTTACATCACACCCCCCCAGGCCTGGAGGGTCACGCGATGGCTTTGCCAAGCTGCTCTTCTGTGTGTGTGTGTGTGTGTGTGTGTCCTGGCCCAAATCCCAGTGGGGAAGTCTGGGCCTACACCCACAGTCTGGCTTTCAATTTCAGGCTACTTGAAGGAGCCTAAAGCCAAAAGGAAGGACTCTGGAAAATGCTTCCCCGGCCTCTCTGGAAACCCCCTGAAACTCCCAGACGTTAGAAAGACGCAAGGGAAAGCGCGCAGGAAGCCCCAGCCCCCCCCCCACCAGGGCGCCTTCCTCCTTCTAGGACCTGCAGGGTGGTGTCTCCTGGAGGCTGCCCAGCGGAGGCTGGCCTCTCTGCCTCCTCCCCAGTGTGGGGAGACAGGAAAAGGTCCTGGGAGATGAGGTGGAGAGCTGCTTCCTTCCGGAAGCTTGTCTGCCCAGTCCCGCTTGAGAAATGGACCGAATCTGAGCAGCATCAGGACAGTTTTGCTCGGCTTTGCTCAGGCCCCGGAGCCTTGGGTTGCTAGATCAGGGAGGTGGGGGCCTTGACAGGGGCTCTTAGAGGATACAGCTTGTTTTGTGAACTGGGTGCTGGCTTTGTGTGTGTGTGTGTGTGTGTGTGTGTGTGTGTGTGTGTGCGTGTGTAATGCTGTGGATTAAAATAAATGCTTTCCCTCTTTTGTGTATGTACCTATAAATCTACAAGTAAACACACTGGGTGGCATATATACTGGGATATACGTGGTAAATTATACAGGTCTCTAGACATTCGCACAGTTAGACCAAAGGATGATATTCTTAGGAGCGATCACGAAGGCTCAATAGCAATGTGCAATTGATCATATAAACTCATATTTTTCTCCACTTAGAACTCCAAGAAATGGAAACAAGAGATCTTTGTTGTTGTTGTTGCTGCTGCTATTGTTGTTGTCTTTTCCTTTCGTCTTGTTTGTTGGTTTATCTTTGGGAGGGTAAGGGGGGAGCCACTGAAAAGGAGCTTACAAAGGGTGAACAAATGTAGCAGTAATACTCACTGGCTACCATGTTGAAAAAAACTTTACAACTTGTGGGTGGGGATGGGAGGGAAAAACCGGGAGAGAAAGAGGGAAGGGGTGACATTGTCTAAAAAGAAATGTACTCATTACAGTACTCATTATGTAACTGTCATCCCTCTGTATACCACCTCTATAAAAACAATAATATATATAAACAGGAGGCGTGGCTCCGGTGGGCGTGGCTCGGGTGGGCATGGCCCAGTGGCAGAGCACCTGCTTAGCAAATGCTAGGCCCAAAGGCTGTCTGGCACCCAATGGGCAGAAGAAGGGGGAGAGGATGGCAGGGAGAGAACTTCCACCTTTTTGTACCATCTGGGCCCTAGCTTGTCCACACTGAGCACATCTCTGCCCTCATTCGCCCTCCCAGGCAGTTCTAGAAACATCCTCTCACAGCCCGTCCAGGCTGCCTCATGGCTAGCATGGGCATGGCTGCTGGACAGATGGCAGAGGATGTTCCACGGCTCCCTTCACGGGGCCGGGTCCCTCTGCGGCTGCGGACCCACATCCTCGACCATGCATGACATTGGGCAGTGTCTGGCCTAGCACCCCTGCAATGGGGTCTCCTTGCTGTGGAGGCCCCCAGACCCACAGTAGAGGCCTCTGTGATTCAGGGGAAAGTGCAGGCCCGGGGCTCAGACACACCTCCACTCAAGTCCCAGCTCGGCCACCTCCCTGTGCTTCCTTGGTCATGCTGCTGAGTGGCTCAGCACACCGAGGATTCCACCCTGCCGCCTCCCAGCGGATGGCTGTGGGATCCAGACCCCTGGAGACCGCTGTATCAGCGTTGGGATGGGGCCTGTTTCTCCCCTGAGGATACCCCTTGATCGACAGCTAGCTCAGGGTACACTGGGGGGAAGTCTTCATGTTTGGGGCCACTAAGAACCCAAGAGTAGATAACTGGAGAAGAATAAAAGCCTGTGGCTTATCATACGAGGGGCCGCCATCTTGCCCAGGGCACGGCATGGCCACCGCCAGCTCGGGGTCCTCACTTTCTCTTGTAAGGCCACAAGTGTCCCCCTGGTCATCATCGCAAGATCTCATCTGATCTTAACACACACCCTCCCCAAACCGTGAACAGATAGATGAGTCAGGATTCAGTGTGCAACACAAGAACTTTTGGGGGGACCACAGTCAAGACATAGCAGTGTCTCTATTCTTCTCCTGGGGCTTCAGCCCCAGCTGCTATGACCCTTCCGCGCCCCCCCCGCCCCCCCCACCAATTGAGAAAAAGGAGAAGAGGGGCCGGCCTATCCGAGCCAAGCAAGCACGTGGCAAGTGCAGAGATTGGCTGGGCTTTGCCATACCCCTGGCATCAGTCAGGGTGCCCAGCTGGTCTCCACACACACCGGGCTCTGGTGAGGCCTTCCCAGAATGCCTACGTCCCTTCCCTAGAGAAACGGGTACCACCCTAGTAGATTGTTTGCAGTCCTAGGGATTGAACCCAAGGCTTGAGCAGGCTGATAAGCACTTGACTGTAAGCCACACCCTCTTTTGTACTTTACTTTTGTTTCCTTTTTCTTTGTGTCAGTCCTAGGGATTGAACTCAGGACTGTCACGGTCAAGGCTAGTGCTCCAGCACTTGAGGCACAGCTCCTCTTCCAGCTTTTTTTTTGGTGGATAATTGGAGATAAGCGTCTCAAGGGCTTTCCTGCCTAGGCTGGCTTAGAACTGTGATCCTCAGGTCTCAGCTTCCTGAGTACAGCTAGGATTTCAGCCATCAGCACTCCATGCCTGGCTTTGTACTTTACTTCTGAGTCAGGATTTTGCTAACATGGCTGGGCTGACTTGCTCTCTCTTGCTCTCTCTTCTAGAGTTTGAACCCTTCCAGGTTTTTAGCTTGCAGGCAGATGCTCTGTTATTGTTTGAGCCATGCCTCCAGCTGGCCTTGAACGCTCCATCTTCCTGCAGTCTCTTTTTCTCAAGTAGCTGGGATTGCAGGCAGGCATGGCCAAATCTGACTAGCAATGCTGGGTTTTGTCAGTATGCCCAGAGTGTAAGAACTGAGGAAGTCATCTGTGTCCCTTGAGCAATAATGACTGATGGGGTGGGGGAGAGAGTATAAATACTCTAGCTCCCTCGGGGGCACCTCCATTGGGGTCTCTGAGTCTGCCAGACACCCTGAATTATGCTCCCTCCGATCTTGTTAAAGTTCCTTAGGATGAGACTATACTTAGAGATAGGGGGCCATGTAGATGTTAAACCTAGTAAAGTGAATTCATGCTAGGAAGGGCCCCTCCTCCAAGACCCAGGTCCTGATGGATTTCTCGGGTGGACCAGAAGCTGGGCCCCAGCCCTCCCCCAGGCCGAGCAGATCCAGCCACAGAGACTTAAAATTGTCTCTCCTTCTGGATGCTGGCAGCAGGCGATGACCTCCGGGCCTGTCCCCTGAGCATCTTCAGCCCATGATCCTGGGGTGCCACCTGTACTCAAATGTACCCCGCTCACGGGGTACAACCCTTTGATTGTTTTGAATGAAGACCTTTGGAGGTAGCCAGCTTGACATCTGATGTGTAAGTAGTGGCAATGGACTCCAACTTGGTTTTGCTGTTTGTTGTTTTAAAGGATTGAGGAGATCAGACTTAACCTGGGGGAATGGCTCGTGGCCAAGTCTCTTGGCTGGGGCCACTGGCTATTTGTGCTATGGGACAGCAGTGAGCAGAGACACAGGAGACCGGAGACCCGGCCTGCAACTGAGCTTCAGTCACGCATCAGACAGAGGCTGCTTGGGCCTTTGAGCCACTGTCACCGCATCTTTAAAACAGGTAACTGTGCTCTGTTCCCTGCCCTGGGCTGGTCGACTTTAGCAAGCACATATTCCCTGCAACAAATATTCTGAGCACGTGACAAAACACAAACTTGTTTATTCTACCACAGCACCCGCAGGAGCCCAGAGAGATCTGACAACTGGCTTAAGCTCTCCCCGCTGGGAGAAGAGATGGATCTAGCTTTGAACTTGAGCCAGGCTGTTCCTCAGTTCCTGATGCAAGGAAATGGCTCATCAACAGCTGGGCTTTTGTTTTGCTTTGGGTTTTGTTTTGTTTTGAGAGAGAGAGAGATTGAGAGAGAGAGTGTGTGTGTACATGCTCCTGGCTGGGCGTTGTGCAGGAGCATTGTCAAGCTACTGGCGAAGAGATTGTTTTTAGAGAGGCCTGAGGCTTCCTCACCCTCTGGACAAGGGCCAGGACCTGGCCAGCGGCCAGCCGCCCTTTCTCCTAAGAGCAGCTATTTCCTGTAAATGGTGACTCTCCTCTGCCAAGACAAGGAGCCAGAGGTGGCCCGTGCTCCCTCTTCTAGGCTAGTGCAGACCTGCACCTGCTGGCCTGGCTTCAGAAGGCTTGATCCGATGTAGCCTCCCATAGTGGCCAAGGGTCAGCTTCTCTTGTAGCAGCTGCTCTGGGCTTGGACCTACCATGCAAAGGCAGAGGGGGGGGGGGCTGAGCTGATGTGTGTGTGTGTGTGTGTGTGTGTGTGTGTGTGTGTGTGAGAAAGAGAGAGAAAGAGAGAGAGAAGGGAGAGAGGCTCAAGTGGAAGACCTCTCTCTCTCTCTCTCTCTCATACCACCCTGTCCAGGGTGGACTGTGACCTGTAGGAAATTATAGTTGAGAGGCAGCCATGGGGCAGATAAGCTGTAGGACTTTCAGGTCAGGCAGAAAAATGACCCACCAGGGATCACACCTTGAGTTGTGTCCCATTTCCAGACCAGGCAGGATGGAGGTGACACCCCTGCCAAGCCAGGACAGAGACGTCTCACACCCTGAGCCTTGCGTTCCCAGGAAGGAACACTGTATGTGTGGTGGGGAGCATGGATGAAGGGCTCTGCAAAGGCCCTGAGGAAGGTATGTTTGAGAATGGGCAGAATCCGCCTGCCACAGCCTCGCGCATCCCGATGGGAGAGGAATGATGGAAACAAACAAACAAACAACAGCAGCAAACAAAACCACCTGCAGGGCCATGCACTGGTGGCTTACACCTGAAATCCTTGCTATCTTGGAAGCTGAGGTTTGAGGATCAGGGTCAAAGTTAGCCTGGGCAGGAAAGTCCATGAGACTCCTAACTTCCAATTAACAAGAAGAAGGAGAAGAAGAAGAAAAAGGAGAAGAAGGAGAAGAAGAAGAAGAAGAAGAAGAAGAAGAAGAAGAAGAAGAAGAAGAAGAAGAAGAAGAAGAAGAAGGAGGAGGAGGCGGCAGAGGAGGAGCAGCAGCAGCAGCAGCAGCAGGAAGTAGAGCTGTGGCTCAAGTGGTAGAAAGTCAGCCTTCCTGAGTTCAAATTCCAGTACTGGCATGCACATGAGCATGCACACAGACACAGACACAGACATACAGACACACATAGACACACCCAGACCCAGACACACATACACACACACACACACACCAGGGAAAACACCTGTAGAAGTCAGAGACCCAGGCTTCCTCTCATCCGTGCACATGCCCAGGCACCCGGCTCAACCTATGCAGAGCAGAGAGTTCAGACCTGGCGGAAAGAAAGGGCTGTGTTCACGCAGGAGCTCTGGGCCAATGGCTGCCATGCAGTCAGTGCAGCGGGCAGATAAGGCTCCGGCCTTCCTGTTTTCCTGCCTTTCCAGTACCTGGCAGGCCTGGGGTTGTGGTGGGATTCAAGGCCAGACCCTCAAATCTCATAGCAAGGATGCTATCCTGAGAACGGGAGTGGATGGGGGAGTGGGGGACTCAGAGGACAAACGGATCCAGAGTCCCTGGATGGGAGGGAAGAACACTGAGAGAAGAGCACTTTAAAGACTAACGGGGAAAAATCAAAACGTCGATGCGACCATCAGGGGGATGATCTGAGGGGACACTGGATAAAGCCGCTTGCTGCCTGGTGTGGTGGTGCGTGCCTGTAATCCGAGCCACCCAGGAGGTGGAGGCAGGAGGCTAGCAAGTTTGAGGCCAGCCTGGCTCCGGTAGATACATAAATAAACAAATAAATAAAATAGTTCAAAACAGAAAGGCGTCTTGTCCGTTCATAGGCACAGAACCACCCCCGCCCGGCCCAGCTTCCTCACATTTCAGGCCATTCCCTCCCCCCCACCCCAAGCAGGGAGTTTAACAGGTGTTTTCCCGCCATCCTTGGCAGGGGCGGGCAGGGGCTGGGGTCCCCCTCCCCGGAGCTGCCCCCTGCAAAGGCCGGCCACCTTGCCCTGTTCCCAGCCAGGCCCTGACTGCAGACACCGAGGCCTAAAGACCATCCATTGAGCATCTGCCTAGGCCTTGGAGCCCGGGCGGGAGCTGGGCTGCGGGAGGTGGGGGGGGGGCGGCAGAGCTGGGCCGGGGAGCACGGGGTGGCAGGGGGTGGTCGGTATCTCCCATGACCCTCCGCTCCCAAGCCCGGCCCCTTCCCACGCCGCCTCCTGGGGACCCCCTGGAGAGAGGCCCAACCCTACCTGGCAACCAATGACGTCACGCCCGACTGCTACCTGGCAGCCAATGACGTCATGCCTGAACTCTACCTGGCAACAGATGACGCGGCCGGCTCCAGGACCAATAGCCGAGCTCCAGGGCTCGGCCGACCCCTGCACCTGACCATCTCTGCACCCCAGGTCCCGGCCCTCCTGTGGGGGGGAGTGACCCCGAGTGTAGAAGGCGACAATGTCCGTTGACCCCACGCGGGGCTTCCGAGGGATGTTTCCCGCCTGCCCGCCCCGACTGGACCCCGGCAGCAGCCGGTGATTTTCAG